CTGATTTACTCATTCACAATACTAACCAACATGTTACAATCAATACTATTAAAAAGAAGGAGTTTTAATAAATCTACCTATGAAAGTTTTTTGGATCCTTTCATTTAATTCATTATTTTTTGGTATTACTTTAATTTAGACCAATATTATGTTATCATATATTTATCTAACAATAATTTAGTCAATACTTCTATATACTAGACCCACCTCTTTTTGTCCTCTTTTTGTACATGTTAATAGTATAGCTTATCTATACTTTATTTAGTAAAACCTTATAATACACACATAAAATAATATGAAAATGCTCTTTGAATGTTTCATGTTTACTATAATGTTTCATGTTTACCATATGATTTACGTGTACATAAAGTGGATCATGTGTTTTATACTATAAAATATTAGAATATACATTTTATACAATTACGAATTATGGCATTCTTATGTGTGTTTATACTATATTATATTAAAATGTCAAATTATTGTCCTTCTTACGTTATATATATATAGAATATTATTTAACTATTCCAATCTAAATGTATTATATATATATATATGACAGTTCACATATGTTAAAAAAATATCATATATCATATTACAGTGCACATATTTTATATCACAAATTCAGTCACCTTTGTTATATCATAACAAATTTAGTATGGTCTTATATATAAGCAAATTACATCATATATACTTACAAATTTAGTATGGTCATATATATATATATATATATATATATCAGATTAGTTTGTTAGTAATGATACACAATCTCTAATATTTCTAAATATTTTATTTTCAATTTTTCACAACTGATTGTTCTTATCCGTAGAATATGTATTCTGAAGCTGCAAATTTACATGAAAAAAAGAGAAACCACGAGTCCGAGCTCCTTTTGCAAGGCCATCAGCTCGGAAGCTGGGGATAAAAGATATAGAGAAAATAGTAAACATAGAACTAATAAGATGAAACTCATCAAATTCAGCCAACAAAGATGGCCATTTGTCTTCTTCGTCTTCTTCAAGTAGCTTGACCAGTTGTAGGCAATCCGTCTTGAAGGTCATTGTACAGTGGTCCAACTGAATAGAGGATTTCATAGCCCACAAGAGAGTTTGGAACTCCGCATGTAGGGGGGTTAAGACTCGGTTACTAGCAAATGAACCATAAGTCGTCATCCCATCCTCATTAGTTAGGACCATTCCTCCGCCGAAAAAAATTGTCATCTTTGTGCCAAGAGGCGTCTAATGTGCAGTTGGGACAAGGAGTTTGAAGCGCCGGGTTGGGAGAGCTTCCTCGATTGCTTCTTCTTGCGACTGCTCGTCAATCTGAGCTGCATACCAGTTCTCCGCTTCCGCCTGGGCAATTTGGACGGTCTCTAAAGGGGAGACGTCCTTGACATTAAAAGCCTTGTCGTTGAGGGATTTCCATATGTACCATATTAGCCATGGAACCCTTGCGACGATAGTATCAGGGATTGCGTAGTCTTTTGCACGTTATAGGACATGGTTCAGGTTACTATATATCGAGTAACAAGGGAATAAGCCCGGAGAGTGCGTTATGTCCGCAAGAGCCCAATCTTGGACGGATGATGGGCATTCGAATAGCAAGTGATTGTGTTTATTTCTCCTCACCGCATCTCGGACATTGACGATCAGTTCCGCAGTGATGGGCGACAAGTGAGCTGCAAACCGGTAGACAGTTCGAGATCGTTTTCCAAATGAAATGCTGGATCTTTTTAGTAGTCTTGATCTTCCATACTTTAGCTTGTAACGCCTTGAGGCTGGGTTCAAGAGTCTGGTTCTTGTCTGGATAATCCGATAATTCCATTGCCAGGGCGTAACCAGTTTTAACCGAGTATACACCAGTTGTAGTGTGTATCCAGCAGTAACCGATGGCACGGGGAGAGCTCGTCGGCTTTAAGCTGCGAATGAAAGGAATGTCACTGGGGGAGACCAGTTCTTTTAGGAGATCGAGGTTCTTAACCTTTGTGGCTGGGTTGATCAGATCGCTAACTCTTAGCAAGGGGTTGAAGGAAGCGCCACTAGGTATTGCGGGTCGCACTGGTGACCTCGTGATCCATGGGTCAACACAGACAAGCGTGGTTTGTCCCGCTCCAATTGATTTTTGCAGGCCTTTAGGAGAGGTTGCACAGCCATGAGGCTTTGCCATACATAAGAGGGATTGCTCACCTTGTTTACATCTATCGAATTTAAATTTCAGAAATATTTACCTTTGAGGACACAAGCCAAGAGGGAATTTGGGTACTGGATGAGTCTCCAGAGCTCCTTCGCACACAATGAGAGATTAAAAATTTTAAAATCCCGGAAACCGAGTCCACCTTGATCTTTTGGAGTGCAAATTATTTCCCAAGCGATCCAGTGAAGTCCGCGGTTGTTATCTTTGGTGCTCCACCAGAAGCGAGATATTGCGTTTGTGAGCTTTCGAATGATTTCTTGGGGGAGCAGGAAGCAAGACATGACGTATGTCGGGAAAGCCTGTGCAACTGATTTGATCAGAACTTCTTTACCACCCTTGGAGAGAAGTTTCGAAGACCATGAGTTTATTCGGTTCTGCAGACGTTCTTGAATGAAAGCAAAAGCCTGCTTTTTGATACCACATATTTTCTCAGGTAAGCCGAGGTATACTCCCATTCCTCCTTCTTTTGCAATTCCCAAATTATGTTTGATTTCTGCTTTCAAGTCTGGCAGTACTTTGTTACCAAACAGAATGGATGACTTCTCTACATTTAGTTGTTGCCCCGAGGAGCAACCGTATGTATTAATGATCTTCATGAGCTCCGTACATTGCGCGACTTCTGCTCGATAGAAGAAAAGACTATCGTCCGAAAACAGGAGATGGGAGATAGGGGGCTGCCTCTTGCGATCTTCAGACCTGTGATCCATCCTTCCTTCTCAACTCCTTGGATTTGGGAGATAAGGGCTTTCGTGAGAAGGATAAAGAAGAAGGGAGAGAATGGGTCACCCTGTCTAATGCCACATGATGGGGAAATATTGCCTTTCGGTTCACCGTTGAGAGTACTTGATAGGATACCGAGGAGATGCAGATTTTTATCCAACCTACCCATTTGGGCGAGAAACCTAGTTTCAGAAGAAGTGCTTCGAGGAAAGACCATTCAACACGATCAAAGGCCTTGATCATGTTTGTTTTAATGGCAACGAATTTAGCTTTACAGCTTGGGTTGGTTCTCAAGGCGTGAAAAACCTCATGTGCCACTAGAATGTTGTCTGTGATGAGACGTCTAGCTACAAAGGCTGATTGAGTCTCCGATATTAACCTGGGGAGACATCGCTTAAGATGTTTACTCAAGATTTTGGAGATGATCCTATAGCTTACATTGCATAGGCTTATGGGGCGGAAGTTGGTCATTTCCATGGGATGCTCGGTATTCGGGATGAGGCAAATGTTTGTCTGGTTCAGTCGGAGATCGAGTACATTGTGCTGGAAGAATTCCTTGACCGTTTGCTTCATCACTTCAGCTGTAATACCCCAGTACTTTTGGAAGAAGAGACTTGTCATTCCATCTGGACCAGAGGCTTTTTCTGGATTGATATCAAAAACGGCTTAACAGATCTCATCATCTGATGGAGGTTTTGTTAAAGCTTTGTTCATGGCCGGGGTGACCTTCTCAGAGATGTATTTTAGGGATTCTGCAAAATCCGAGGGGGCCGACGAAGTAAAGAGAGTCTGAAAATAACATGTTGCCACTTCCTCGATATCATCTTCGGTTTCTTCTCATAGACCACTCGCTTTGCGAAGCTTCGTTACTCTATTCCTGGCTCTCCTCTATTTTGTGGTTGCATGAAAGAACTTTGTATTTTGGTCTCCTTCTCGAAGCCAGGTTTCTCGGCTTTTTTTTTTCTAGTATAGTTCTTCATCTCTAAAGGCCGTACAAAGGTTCCACTTGGGGCTCAAGATTGATTCATGAGAGAAATCATCCTCAATTTGAGCTTGTTCTAGCAGGTCTTTTATTTCTTTTATCTTTTTTGCAGCATTTGAGGGGTTGTCGCGTTTCCATCGAGAGATAAACTTACGGCAGTGAGCAATCCTGTCATATAGGTCATCCTTGTTAAAAAGACTTGGATCATTCCATCCCTGTAGAAAAGTGTCATGGAAGCCATTTTTACCGATCCATCTTTTGTCAAATTTAAAGGCTCTTTTGCCTTGTTTCTTAATGGATAGGAAGCGGGTAAGAATTGGCCAGTGATCACTACCCCAGAGACGCAGGTACTCCACATTCGAGTGGGAAGAACATTGGTGCCAGTCTTCGTTTCCCACTGCTCGGTCTAATCTGCATTGAACTTTCCTAGAGGGTCTATTACCGACCCAGGAGAGGGGGTTTCCTTTGTAGGGGAAATCAATCATCCCGTAATTTTCCAGCATGCATTTGAAAGTGAGGATCGATGAGTTTGGATGTTTTCTACCCCCTTTTTCTCCAGATTGCTTGTGATCTCATTAAAATCTCCTAGCATCAGCCAAGGTCCAGACCTGGTTACAATCAAACGGGTAAGGCGTTCCCATACATTATCTCGGTACTCTACGACCGGATCACCATATACAAAAGTAATGAAGACTTTGTGCCCTTCAATAGTGGCTTCAATATCGATCATACGATTATTGGAAAAAAGGACAGTAACATCAAAAGAATCTAAATAAAAAAGTGCTAGTCCACCGCTTCTTCCCTCGGGTTTCACGATGAACAATTTATTATAACCAAACTCAAACTGAAATTCCTGAAGAAAAGAAGAATTGTTTTTTTTGTTTCTGAAATAAAAGAAAAGAAGAAAGAAAACAACGATGCAATTCCCGAAGATGTTGCTTTGTCAGATAGGCTCCGGCACTCTGAAATTCCAAGCTATTGCACTCATATCTTCTTACTGGGTGGTTTATGGGACACCACTGAACCTGAAAGGGACACAGATTTTTTGCATGAAGCAGAAGGAAACACCTCAATACGAGGGACCATAGATGAAGAAGATATTAGTCTTTTACCCGGTGCTGTCTTCTTCTTTGGGAAGACTCGGTTGCTGAGCACTTGCAACTTCTTTGAAGCGTTTGCTCCTTTTATGTCTGGAGACCGGGTGGTCTTCTTTTTCAGTAAGATTTTGGGGACATAGTCGCCGGCCAAGTTCCTCAGCGTGGGGTGCTGGAGGGATGCGGGTGCCTTTGCGAGTTCCAAGTGCTGGCTCAAGGATGCTGCTTTCTTGGACACAACATTTGCTGGATAGTGTTGATATTGCCTCAATTTTTTCCGCATCTAAGTCTGGAGATTCGTCCAGAAGATCATCATTATCAAAATCAATCATAGTCTCATCTATCTTATTCTCAGCCAACATTTTCTCAATCATCTCAAGACGTTCAGTTTCTAGAATTAGGTTATCTACCTCAGCTGACTCAAGATCAGTTATAGGAACTTCTAAACCCTGCTCTAAGCTATTTTCTAGTTCAAAATTTCCGTCTCCTTGTTTCAGAAGGGGAGGGTCATACCTTTTTTCTTGTCGGGGAGGATGTGGTGCATCCGAGGGCTTCCTTGAGGGATTTTCAGCTGAGGTAATAGTGATACCTTTGTTCGCTAAGCCCGGTGGCCGTGCGTCTCTGTGTTGTGGAGAGGGTGTGTCCCTGACAATGGCTTTGCCTTTGGGTCAGCGTATACTTTCCTCCTCTGTAAAAGCATTGGCAGCTTCCGTTCTACGGGTCTCAACTATTTCTCCTGATTCCAGGGATGCACGGTTGTTGGTAATCGTCTTTTGAGAGTAAAAAGTAGCTTGATACCTCTCTGTTCGATCATTTTCCTCCTGTCGAGGTGATACATGATTGGTTGATCTGTTCCTTGGTTCCTCAATGTTATGTCTTGGGCGCCATTCAATGGAAGGTATGTAGCTTGGACGTGACTCCCCGTTGCGGGATGAGTTACGTGTATGATGGTTTGAGCTACATCCTCTCTGTGATTCTCCCTTCCTAGATGGAATTTTCAGACGACTCCATACTTCCTTTCCGCGGTTTTGGTATGGGTATCGGTTATCTTGTCTGCTCGAGCTTTTGCGATCCCTAGTTTGAGGTTCGATGGCTCGAGCCTCGCGGGTTTGGTGGGAAGGGGTCATGTGTTTCTTTCGTTTCTCCTCGTGGATTAGGTCGCTATATCTCGAGGTTGTCGAAGGACTAAAATGTCTCCCAATAGGAGGGGAACGAGATCTCTTCCGCGGGTTCCTAGAGTTGTAACCTTCGGAGTGCAGAGTTTGACGATCACCGTTAGAGGGGCCGCCTTTGCGGATCAACAGAGACGATTGGCTCATGGTGTGGAGTAGTTGGTAACTTAGCAAGAGCTAGAGGAAGATAAGATCTGAAGGACTATGTAGGTAGCAGTGTGGATCTGAGAGGTGGAGCACGGCGATTCTTATAAGAGGGGGTGGTGGTAGGGTTTTCTTGAGATCGTTTGGAAAGAGCTTCTCGGAAACGGAAAGTAAATATTGAGAGAATATTGATTGCTTGGCAAAGAAGCCAGAGGGTGGAAAACGAGAACCGGTGGAAGAAAAGGTCGGAAAACTATCAGGAGTGTTGCGTAGTCTCCCTTGTAAACCTTGATGCCGGTAAGAGGATGACGGAGATGGAGGAAGACCAAATCTCAAGATCGCATTCCTTGTCGCCTAAACCTAGCGGTGCCACTTTTTTATAATTACGTCAATCAACAACAAGATTTATGTAGTAACAATGTTTGAAATCAATTTCTACATGTTTTAGTTTTATAGTTATTTTTAAATTCTGATTTACTGATTTTAGAGAGGTATGTTAAGTGCGAAATATGTATTCCAAATAGTTTTAGATTACTATTATTTACGTAGAACATGTATTCTGGACATAGTAGATTTTATAAAAAAGTGAATTTCATATTCTACTTCGTAGAATGCCAATTCTAATATTTGTGAACAAAATATGAAATTATAATTTAAACATTTTAAAACTGTGAAAAAAATACCACTAAATTGATATGTATTTGATCATTAGTTACTATTTTTTGAAATATTTGTTTTCATAAAATTATTTATTTGATTAACTTTTGAAAATACTTAAGAATATTATAATCTAAAATAGTACAAAATATAAATTAACCTAAAGGGACAATGTTCCAGCTGTTTTGGTCTAAAAAATAATCTTCCCATTAAAAAGAAATGTGACAAGGAAAATTAAAAATGATTGTGGTTGATGACAAACAATGGGAATATAAATTATGATGGAACATCATAAGCTTTGCTATCTTTATTGTAAGTGCTGAAAGGCGTGGCACAGGAGGCAATATTAACATCTATGGCTCACCAAAATTTGATTAAAAAGGAACTTTCGGTTTGACCATGTCTAATCAGTTTCAGACAAAAAAAGAACAAACTCATACAGTTTCGTTCGTATTTAAATATATACACACAGAAAGTTCTAGTAAAACTAATTCTCAGCATTTTCTGCCATAAACAAAACCAAACTTAATTTTAAATATATAAGAAAATGTAAACACTCATCTTTATGAATAGCTCTCACAATAATAAAAACTGGGAAACTTATTAAATTTATGTGATGAAAAGGACAGAGAGCAGAGAAAAAAAACAATGTAGATCTGAAATTGTGCTCGCCATCTTATTAGCCATTAATAACTTTGAACACAAGGCATCTTCGACCATATTCTATTTTCTATACTAAAATAGAGTTTCAAATAGAAAATACTCAAATAATACTTTATTTTCACTTCTATAAAAATAATAGGTTCACTCTATAGTATATATAGAATAGTTTATTATTATTTTCCTGTTCATCACTTTATTTTATATTATAAAATAAAATACCATTGGATCAACATCCAATTTATTATAAAGTTACTCTATTTTACAGAAAAATAGAATAAATCATTAGAGATGGCCTGATATAAGAGCAAAGTAAGTGTCTCTACACCAAATTTTAGAGTCTGGTTGGTAAATTTCAGAATAAATGGAATTATAAAAACATGTACAGTATAACCTCTTTAAATTAATAATCTATAAATTAATATCTCTATAAATTAATATAATTTCATAGTCCCAAATTGAATTTTTGGTTCAATTAATATCTCGATAAATTAATAATCTCTATAAATTAATAAAAAATTTAGTTTTGGTGTAGTCCCAACATTATTAATTTATAGAGGTTTCACTGTAGAAACAAGAGTAAACTGAAAAGTGAAAAAGGAAACAAAAAGGAGAAAATAATTTTACTCCAGTGGAGTAATATTGTGTGTGTACTTTATTTTGTTTCAACAGTATATAGAGTAAATGAAAAACTAAATTTTTGCTTCATTAATTATTTTTAGAGTGAGAAAATAGTCATTAAAATTCTGAACTTTCAAATTAAAGCCCAAAAAACCTCTAATTCATATTTGAGCCAAAAAAAATTCTCACTTTTTAAATATTGGTTATTTTAACTCACACATTTTGTTGACTCGGCCATTTAAAATCTTCGAATAGTCAACTATTAAACTCGATAAAAAAATAAACGTATGTTAACTCTATAAATGACATTTTTTAAAAAATGATTAATACATTGATCAAACAACGTTATGTTTCTTATGTAAACACTTAAATCATCTCTTTCACGAAACCAGTGTGAGAAAGATGAAGTAGATTTAGGGCTTTGGTTTCGCGAAAAGATGCCTTAAATATTTACAGAAGAAAATAACGTTGTTTGATCAATGTTTAATCAATTTTTAAAACAATGTCATTTACAGAGTTAACATACGTTTATTTTTTTGATCTAACAGTTGACTATTTGGATTTCTCAAATGGCGAGTCAACAAAATATGAGAATTAAAACGGTCAATATTTGAAAATTGAGGAATTCTTTGGCTCAAACAAGAATTGAAGATCTTTTTGGCTTTAATTTTAAAATTCATGATTTTAATGGCTGTTTTCTCCTTTTAACGATAATAAAATAATAGAAATTTCAGTGTTATACTTTGTGCCCGAGATGTAATACAGTCACAACCTTAATGATATCGTCTCTTTGATCAAGAAAAAAATGTATTCATCTATATTCATCTAAAATAAATTTTAAATTAGTAAGTTCTGGAAAAAAATTGGCGTATTTCTATAAATAGAATATTATCTTTTAAAAATATTTGAAAATGTTAACGTATTTCTATAAATAAAATAATGTTAACATATTTCTATAAATAAAATTCTAATATTCTCTTTAAATATAAAAATTTGATTTTCTAAATATTAAAAATGACAATTTTCTATATTTTCTTTGTCTATTTTAAATATAATAAGTTATTACTAGATCTTGTGAAATTCATCTTTACCTTTTCCAGCACCTATAATTTCTAATTGAAGATGAATAAAAGATATTCAGTCATTAATGACCAATAATCATCAAATTTAAAGAAGTTAAATGAAAATGTGATTTTAAAAGTGAACATTTATGAGTTTTTGAGATGAGATAAAAAGAAAATATAAATGATTTTTGTGTATAAGAAATAAGACAGAGACAACGTTAAATTGAATTAAGGTATTGAAAGCCTGGTTTTCGTAAATAATTGATATGATAGACTAAAATGTCAAAAAAGAATTAGTTTGGTATTTGAAATTTTCATTTTTGAAAAAATCTCAATAAAATAAGAGGTAAAAGACTCCTTTATGTTCTTTTGTCATTATTTTTAGCAATGAAGTTTTTGTTTTATTCTATTGAAGTCACTGAAAAGACGAACCCATTATGAAATATGATGATACGGTCGTAAATAATGAATATGTCTGAGTGTATATGAAATGATGCAACAAGTGAATTCTAAATTCGGCTAGCTTGCTATATACATATGATGATTAACGAGCATTATCACCATCAGGAGTGTATATTTATCAATTATTAAGATTTCTGGTTTCTTACCTAATATTAGCAATGAATCAGGAAAGCACCTCAATGAGGTCATGAAAAGGTTTACACCTCCTAATTAATAAAATGACAAACAAAGAGACACAGCTTATTACTCAGACTCATGAGGAGAATCTAAAGAAAGAAACAACGATCACTTGGAAAAAGACAGTAGACTCACGTACATTTAAATTGTTTTTTTGTGGCAATTTTCATTTAACTGTTTTCAAATAAAATAGTTTATGATGGGGTCAATGGATTTGCAAGAGAACATAGATATTATACGCATTATCAAACAAAAGATGTCTGTTTTTGAGACCACATGATGCAATAAACATTTATATTTGTCTTTGTTTCGTGGTTGTCTACTTGTTTGTACTGGTTTGCCTGAAGCAGTTGCTTACTCCCTCCGTTTCAGAATATATGTCATTCTAGGCTTATTTTTTTGTCACAAATTAAGTGTCGTTTTAAAGTTTCGAGGCAAAATTTATTAGTTTTATATAATATTCTATTTTCTATTGGTTGAAAAGTGGTTAGATATATAGGTAATTGTGTTTTTATCTTGAAAATATATAAAATTAAATATATTCTTAATCTGTGTGCAAAAACCTAGAATGACAAATAAAATGAAACGGAGGGAGTATATGTTTTCGTCAAATGACATATAGATCAGTTTCAAGCATTCATTGACAGGATTTGATGTTAGGTATAGATCATAAATGCTTCTTTGATAAAATTAATCGAATTTAAAATAGGATCTGGGGTTTTAAGTTAATTCGCTAACACTAATATCAACAATAATACATAAATATTATTTCATAGTCATTCTGTAAATTTATTTAATTATATATTTAATTTTATTTACAACCTTTTAACATGTGAAAATTAATTTATTTTAAAAAGAAGAAAGTCCCTTTCCTTCTTTCGTGATTATACACTATCATCAATCAAAACTTAATTATATAAAAATAAATAAAAGTTATGACATATATGCATATTAGTTTGCGGAACATATTAAGAGAGCACAAATTTCATAGAGGAGAATGGGCATGTGATAAAAGCAAAGTTCCCTCTTATTATATAAAAGCGACCACGCTTGTTTTCTAGCAATGATTCGGTCTACTTTATTAATATTCTCTCTTTTTTTGTGATTTTATTTTATCCTATCTATTTATCGTGTACCTAAAACATATCCCAATTATCTATGATTCTTGATTACTACCCTCATACATAAAACAATACCAGGGTAACATGTTTTTCGTGATGTTTGATCATCAGTGAAAATTGTGAAATATCAAAAGGGTAGTTTTCTTGTTGTTGTTGACAGCCCATTAGTTACCGACTTACAGCTGTAAATGTAGTAGTGCAGAGGGAGGGAGTATCCCTATTTAAATCAACCAACGGTAAA